GCTGTCGCCTCTTGTCCAATCGCCCGACATCTGGCACAATTCCCCGATAGATATCCCTCCATTTCCACCATTCCCTATCGCTTCTGGCCTCCTTCTGGCCAAAAAGACGCTCCTCAAGTTAGAGAAGCAGCTGAAGAATGCCTAATTTTCAAAATTTCTACCGTTGAATCATTTTTTATATTAACAAAGGCGAATCTAGGCTAATTACAAAATTTTGCCGAAAATTTGACACATCTTTTTGCAATTTAGCACGCAAAAAAACACCAATAGAAACAGATTGATCGCGCATGAAATTTGCATGTTTCAAAGTTGTTAAGGTGTAATGATTTTCCCTTAGTTTAATGTTTGCTTGATCTGGGAATTAAATTTTAAGTTCAGACTATTGAATTTACTCGGATCTATTTTCAAGTGCACCAGGAAGGCTACGTTTATGAGAGTTGAGGGCAAGAAAATGACCAAAAAAAATTGACGAAACGCTCGGCTCGGTTGAGGTGCTAAATTTTAAAAATCAAGAATTTCAAAAACGGTGTTTCAAAATTTTGGACGTTAAATTTGAAAATCTCGATTTAGTGCGGTTTGACCATGGCTTCAAATCATTTAAAAATCATTTCAAATTCCCCATCGAAACAACAAACGCTCGAAATTTCCAAACGAATTCCCGTTTCATTTTTCTTTTTTCGCTAATCCTTTTCATTTCCACAAATAGAGGCCAAAATACGAGCGGCAAATTGGAAAGGGAAATTGGGGAAAAAGAAATGGAAAACCACAAAAGAGACCTCAATTAGCATCTCCGCATACACGAGGAATTCCCGGGTCATCGTGAATTCCGAGAAAATTTCTCCCCCTTTTTTTACAAAACCACCCCCATTTTTTGTTTTGTTTCTTTGTTTCTTTGTTTTTTTATGATTCTTTGACAATTCAAATGATTACGAAAGCTTAAAGCAATGTTTTTAGTGTCTGATCTTATGCAACTTTCAATTTTTCGATTTGCACGGCTCAATTTCTTGATAAGCTTTTCAATTTCAAGAGTTATCAAGTTATCAAGTTATCAAGCGTAAAACAAAACTAAATAAGTTAGTCCAGATCTCATGGAGTGCCTGGGTTCTGGCTGGGCCCTGACTGAACAACTTGACTGACCTAACTTTGCATGGTTGGCCTGGGAAAATTAGCTTTAAAACAACCCGATCCATCACATTCCGAGCACCGCCCCAACACACCAATTCCTCGATTGAACCAACCAGTTGTACCAACCAGTGATGCGCTTATTTATCTACAGTACCCTTTACAGTACTGCTACAGTACTACAGTGAGTAATAATAGCTGTGTCCCTACTCTGCTAAATCTGTTTTCTAAAGAATAGATAATTCTCAGAAAGCCTATGGTCTAAGCTCGACATCGGTTCAATCCAATTCTAGAGTTCTAGGATTTTTTTATTTTTTTGTAACTTTCAATGTTTCAACTTACACGGCTCGAATCCAAAGTGTTGGAACTTCCTTGAATTTCCTTTCTGAACACCGCCTCAACACATTAATCACAGAACTTTTGAAAACCTTGGCTAACCGGGTTTATAAGCTAGGCCAGAAGGCGGGTATGGTCCAGTCCTGAAGCCAGAATCGAGCCTGGGTTCTAGCTTGACCCGGTTTATCTACAGTAGACCCACATCTACATCAAAATTTCTATTGTTTCTATTGTTTTGTTCTATTGTTCTATGAAAACGAGAATTGCTGAAGAGATTACTCATTAATGAATCCGATTGGAGAAGGGGAATCATAAAGATTGGCCCATCTAGAAGAAAGTTATGACGAGTTGCGCAAACGACCGAGTTGATGCAAATGATCCAGTTGCGGGAATGTGCGGGGGAAATTCTATTTGTTGTTCTAATCTATTGTTTTCTAAAAAACAGAATTCGAGAATAAGATTTGAGTGTTTCATCTTAAACACTTTAGTTAGCGTCTCAAAGCAATTAGTTTCTTTCCTTTGCCGAACACCGCTCAACCCCCAGTAATGCCAGAATAGCCCGAGAATTTCCCCCACACATTCCCCTTCCCCAATCGGATTCATTAATGAGTAATCTCTTCGGCAATTCTCGTTTTCATTTTCCTCCTTTTGTGCAATGAAATTCCCGAGTTCTCATGGAGATTTATTCCCCGAGATTGAGTAATTCAACCGGAATTGGTTAACCGATTTGTTATGAACACTTGTTTAGTCATTGGGTTCATTTCGAAAGACTTAAATTGTATTTTAGCTATATTTTCAAATCTTTTTTATACCATTTTTCTTTCTTTTTGACTCAATTTGGAGCTATTGTCCTCTGAGAACAAATTCCGGGTGAGTAACTGAAAAAAAAGCTCCAATTCAAGCTAATCCTTTTGGATTTTTATAGTATCTCTTATATTATTCATAAAATTTGTAATCTTTCCGATTTAAGTTTTGTTTTATTCATTTAATTGAGAATAAAGATTGAGAGATTTCTTTAAATTGAGAAATTGTCAGTCTGGGCCATTCTGGGCCATTCTGGGCCATTCTCGGCCATTCTGGGCCATTCTCGGCTATTTGTTTAAAGTATCCGACTTGCTAATGGTGAAAAATAGTTCTTATTTGTTTAATAAATATTGTAATCGTAAAGTTTTCAATGAAAATTGCTTTTATTCGAAATATAGCTTGTAGAAATATAGCTTATTCGAATATAGCTTTGCAGAAACGCTGTCAAAGTTGAATTCGATTAGAGAATTGAAATAATCGATTTCTAGACAATTTCTATGATTCTCTTATTGAACTTTTTCTAATCTATCTATCATTTTTATTATTTTAAAGTATCCGTTTCTGTTAGGATTCGTTCTTTTGAAATATCCGACTTTAGAGCTTGCTAATGATGAGCTTTTAAACGTTTAAACGTTTAAACAAAGCTTTTAACTCGTAAATCGTTTTCAATAGGAAACAATAGGAAAAAATCTTGGAACAATCTTGGCTTAATCTTGGATTAATCTTGTTTTTCTTGCCCCAAAGCACTTCAGATTGAAACACACTAATTTTGAGGCAATTATTGAAAAGAAAAGGAAAGGTTTGTTTTCCTTTTTTAACCAATGCCTAAAAGCAAGCCGTCAATTCCACGCTAAAGTCGCGTTTCAATTTTGACAACCCCTAGGCATCCTTTGATTGGCTTAATTTGCGAGGATGCTTTACTCTAAATTCTTCAAAACTAGTACAGTATACCACTTAGTAGTTTGTGCTCTAAAATTAGGAATCTATTATCTATTAACTATTCCCTATTAACTATCTATTAACTATTATCTATTAACTTTAAATATCCACGAGCAATGCATTTCATTTCATTTTTTAAGAAGTTATGTTTCAATTTATTCAAAATTCAAATTATTAAAAAATTTTTTTAAATTTTTTAAAAAGTTATGTTTCAATTTATTTAAAATTCAATGTTATTGACTAAATTTAATTTGGCTGACGTCTTCATTGTAACAACAAAACAAATCAAAACAAGTAGCGAATATAGTCAACCTAACAACCCAGCAACGATTTAGTCTGAAAGAATCGAGTGCGCTAGGAAGGGGATGTTTACGAGATTTAAGTCCACAAAGTACATCCCTATCTTACTTTGTATTAGCTTTTCTGCGGACTAATTTATTTTCCGCAAAAATGTCAAGCTATTCACTCAACACTCCTACGTGAAAATTGGCCCATCAAAGAGAAGCGAAAAGAGTGAGGAAAATTGGATTTTCTCCCCGAAGAGACGGCAGAAAAAAACACTCCTCAAAAGATTCGATCAAAAGTGGCTAAAAGAAAAAAAGAAAATTCCGTATAGTTTTTTTTTTCGTAATTTCCCCTTTTTCCTTTCATCTTTCACCTTCAATCTAAATTGCTTTTTAGAGTTTTTTTCCCGTTTTTCATTTAACAATATACTTTTGAGATCCTAGTTTTTGATATCACTCAAATTCGAGTGAAAAGTAGCCTCATTTTTCCGTGGAAATATTTGAGTTTCAAAATTTGAGGTTTAATTTTGGAAAATCCTTTATCAGTTAAGCCATTTCTTGCAATGATTACTACTAAATTTCTTAAGTTCACTGATTTTTTTTGATTTTTTTATTTTCTTTACTTTATGCAAATTTTTTAGTTTCAAAATTTTCCCAAAGCTACACTTTTAATAATAGAGAATACGGTTTTCATTTCTTGACTTGATTAAAGAGGTTTCAAAATTCGTCACATCTATTTCGTCACTGTTTTCCTTACCGTTTGCCCTTGTGAAATAATTGAGTTTCAAAATTTTGACGACCATTTTGTAAAATTCTTTTCCAATCATTTCGAATTTTAGTTTTTCAAAGTTTACTTGATAAATTTATTGCTTTACAGCTTTTGTCGTTTTTCTTTACGTGAATTCTTTGTGTTTCAAAATTGGTGGGTCTTTTAGAAGAGGTTTTATTTAATGCATCAATTTTTCAAGCCTGCCATTTACGAAAGTTTTCAAGTTGACCTTTATTGGCTCTGGGAGAATCTTCGGAGTTTCAAAGTTACGGTGGTGATTAGCCTTTAACAAACAGTGATGTCACCATTCTTGATTCATTCTAAACTTGTGTACAAAGCAATACTCTATTGGGTAAATGGAAATGCAATAAAAATGTTTTTAAACTTTGCAAAATACTCAGAAGTCAGAGTCTAAAAGTCTAGAAGTGATTTCGGGTTTATATCGTGCAAATCGGTGCACTAAAAGAAGCCTGATGAAAAGAAAAAAAACTCATGTTTCAACTAATGCAACTAATCATTGGGTTCATCACTTTGAAACACTTCTTTAGCCCAATTTTGAACTTTTTAGGTTTCAAAGTTTCGATATTTCGCAAATATTCTTTAGTCACAATTTTCAGTTTCAATTCTCAGTTTCAAAGAATTCGTGCTTGTCAGACTAGTGTAATTTCTAATTTCTGTATCCACCCACTCAACTTTTGAAATTTCCATTTCAAAAATTGGCTCGATCCTGTTTCCACAAGAATTCATTCTTGATCACGACTTTTGCAAGGTCTTTGCAAGGTCACCTCCTTGATGTAATCGGTGCTCGGATCGAGCGGGCCAAAATCTTCCAAGCCACTAAAAATGCAAGTAAAAATACAGGAAACAGTTACTCACATAAAATCGGACCATTGTCGATTCTTCTTGTAGTCGTAGAACTCGTGTTTGCGTGGGTGAATCCAGCCAATATCCAAATGCACCTTCACGTTCGACGTTGATGAGTTTATTGTCTAAAAAAAACTTAAATTTCTTCTCATATTACTCTCACACCCGGGTGGTTGGATTTATCGATTTTGATCGGGAAAAGTGAGCGTAAAAGCATTAGATCTGTGAGAGTAGGCTCTCAAGGCAAACTTTGAGGCTACTAGTGCTGTTTTTGAGTGTAAAAAGTCGAAAAGCTGCATAAATTTCTGCTTCCGCTAAACATTTGACTTTGCATTGGCATCGGCGGCATTGGCAAATCCAATCATTGAAACAAGCCGCTTACTTTGAAACTAGCCTTTATTTTGCTCAATTTCCTTTTAAAGTTTCGGTGGTGATGAGCCCTAGGAAGGTTTAAAATGCTGTAAAACCGTTACCGTATTTTCTCTAATAGAGTGCACCCCGCCGAGCCGAGTTGGTGACTATTTTACGGTTTTGAAGTTTTCGCAGAAGCTCAACACTCAAATCCCTGACAAGATCTGATCGTCAGCTACATTTTCCGACCCCACATCGATAGATTCTGATAAGCGGTTCTTGAGATTTCGAGGAATTTAGGCGAAGCTCTGGGTGCACTATTATTAGAGAAAACTTCAGCCATTAAGAGTTTGCATTTTACATTCTCCGGGGATTGTAATGCTCTATTCTAACTCCTCAATATTATCCTTTTGAATCTAGCTCTTATCTTGAAAACTTTGAAACTAAAAGTCTTTGAACAAAAGCGTGGAAATCTCTATTTCTCTATTTCCATTACTCAAGTCTAAATTGTGTTCAAGGATTGAGTTACGGTATTTTAGAAGTGGTATTTTAACACTCTTTTTAGAAAAAAGCAGATTGAAGAATGCACAAATTTCCTCGATTGATAAACGTAATTTTGCTGACACCCCGGTTTTCTTTGAAACGCAATTTTTTAAAACACAACTTTTTGCTGCTTTTGTCAAAACCGAATGAATAATTTTATTAATGAGCTTTTCAAAAATTCCCTAACAATTTCGATCATCACTTTTCAGCTTTAAATAATACACAAAAGTTGATTGATATTACTTTTTTTTGCGCTCGAAATTCCCCCATTTCTCCAGTCATTTCCAATTTCGCTAAATTACTCTCGGTAATATCCAATTTTCTCCAGCAAACCTGGAAAATAAAGAAAATGAGCTTTTGTGGGCTTATTTTTCAAGCAATTTTTGATCTTGCACAGTCATTATTTATCAAATTGACTTCTTAAAGTTTTTAGAAAATAAAAGAAATGTGGAAAGAAAGAAAATAGAAAAAAAATGCAACTGTGATTTATTAAATTTACTTGTCCAAGAAAGATGCGGTCAAAATTGAAACTTCGATATATCGGTGGGGTGCATTTAGTGTGAATTTACACTCAATCTGGCAAATCCGTATCATTTTTAATCATTAAATCATTCTTTTCAATAAATTTTCACTAAATACTCCAAATAGCGGTCCAAAAGCATGGAAAAACTGATGTTTCACCTAGCGTACTAGTTTACTAGGTGAAACTACTAGTTTACTAGTTTCTACTGTAATTTGAATCATTGCTTTCATCACTTTTTATCGCTGCTTCTTTCCTTTACAAAAACCAATTCAAGTTTTGCTTCTTTTTGGGTATTTTTACTTTTTTACATTCAAAAATTCTTTGGTTTTCCTAAAAAAAATACTTTGAGAGTCACAAATTTGAGAAGAAAGATCAAAAAGTCGAAAAATTTTTGGGAAAACCTCACAATAGCTGAAATTGCGACACAAAGCTGAAGATGAAGTAGCAAAAAACTCAAAACGCAAACTCAAAAACCAAAACTCAAAAATTAAACCAAAAAATTCTTCTTCAAGCTAATTATTTTGAAACACGTAATTTTTTCAAGCTATAGAATGTGATGGAAACTGAGCTCTTGCCCGAGCTCAGAGTTTTGAAAAAAAAAAACGTTTCTTTCGGTTTCAAATTTAATTAGCATTAGCCAGCATTAGGAAAATTTGATGATTACCCAGAATCCAACTGCTAATGGCCTTTTGAAAACGAACATTTTTTCCGAGAAACGGCAAAAATCGTTAGAAATTATTGAACTTTCCGAGATTATTTGAAGGCATTTTAATTAAGGCAAACAAATTCTCCCCTTGAACCAATAATTTGAAACATAGTTTTTTTTTTGAAGATTTTATTTGTTAATATTTGTTTAATGCCTGAGAACTAAGCCCTATTTGGTCTCAATTTGGGAAACACAAATCTTTTTCAAAAATCTTCCCATAAAACAATAAAGAGATTCTGCCGTTAAGCCAAAATTTCAGTTGAATTCGCGATGATTAAATTTGAAAGATTAAAAGTGAGATTAAAGCTGATACACAGACTAAATGTGACAATTTCTTTCCGAACTCAATTTTGAATTTGTTTGAATTTGATTTGAAATAATTTGAAACACGGCTTAAATTTTGGCTTAAATTTCGATTAAATTGTTGGAAATGTAAGTGGATTTGCGATTTGTTTTTTCAATTGGGTCAATTGTCATTCTTTATTCTTCTTTCAAGCCGAGAAACTTGAAACGTAATGTTTTTGTGTTGAAAATATGTTCAAAAATGATGTTTCAAATTATTTAACTTGATTTAGCTCAATCATTTGAAAGGAAATTGTAAGAGTCCTGTTTAGGCAATTGATCAAATGGCATCAAAAAGCCGTGTTTCAAAGCAGTTCACTTCTGGCAGACGTTTAGAAAAGTAGTACATTGATATTCATTTGATTTTTCATTTATTTTGGGTATATTTTTCATATTCCTTTGCTAAAGACCAAAGATTTACTCTTAGAAACCAAATTTGTTAAAATAGCAAACCAAATTTGTTCAGATAGGGAATCCAAATTTATTAAAATAGGAAACCAAAGATCCAAAAACCAAAGACCAATCTTGAGAATAATAAAGTTTTCTCTTGAAGATTAAATCATTTTTCAACAATTTTTTTATGAATCTAGGTGATTAAAACGTTGAACAATTGAAAGGAAATGTTTACTATTGAAATCGAAATGCTTTTGCTTTTCCCTTTTGCTAGGAACATCGAGTGAGCTAGGAAGTGAAAGAGGTGAATCTGAGCGATTTTACATGGAAAACAAGTCAGAATTCGTGGCTCCGGCCTTAATTGTTTCATTTTCTTTGTTTTCATCTCATCTTTATTTCATTTTCTTCAAATTCTATTCAAAATCTAGTTTCATTTTCGTTGCCTTGTGTTCAAGGCTTTTTCAACGCATTTCTTCGCATTTTTTCTTTCTTCTCATCTCAAATCCACAGCCATTTTGAGGAGATACGAAGTGAAAAAGAAAAAAAATTGGAAAAAAGGTTCTTTATGTGAAAAGAAGACTCAATTAGGAGGCCCTTAGATGCAGAAAAGAAAGGGAAAGAAAGGGAAAGAAAGGGAAAGAAAAAGGACAAATTGAATGGGATCTCATCCAATACTTTCAGCTAACAACTAGACAGAAATGACTTCTTCTTCTTCTTCTTCTGACTTCTAGAATCACATTCTTCTTTCTATCCCCATTTTTTTTTGTTTAAAAATCTATAGCTAACAATCTATAGCTTCTTTCTATCCTAGTTTAAGCTCAACTTTTTCCCTTTTTCTTTCATTGAAATATCGTTTTGAAAAGCATTTTTGAGGCTAAGGCTGAAAAATAGGATTCTAAATTTGAATCAAATGAAAAAAATGCATTTTTGACAATGCAAAGACGAGCATTGCGTTTTGAGAAGCTTTTTTGAGGCTAAGTTCTTTGAAACTCTTTGTTTTATAAAGAGAGGAAGTTCTTTCTGGTTTAAAAACTGTTTAAAAGTTGTTTAAAAGTTGTTTAAAACCTTCTTTCTCTGTTTTCGTTGTTAGATTATGGATTATTTTGAAAAGTTGATAGATGATTTTAAATAACTTTTAGCTTTTAAATAAGTTAGTTTTTTGTTTTTTTAGTTTTGTCATTTAAAATTTTGTTTCAAGATTTTGTTACATCAAAAAAACAATTGCAATTTAGACTTCGCGAAAGAGCCGGTCAAAAGTGAAACATTCATTTCCCCATGATGAAAAAATGTTTAAAAAAAAAGAATAAAGAACTCAAAAATTCCTTTGAAAACTTGTTAAGAACTTGTTAAAAACGGAAAATTACATTTTGTTTTGCAAACTCATGGAATTAAAATTTCAAAACGCAGATTTAACTTGAGAACTTTGAAACATTGAAAATTCAGATAATTCAGCGATTCAAAAGTTCAAGTTTCAAATTGAGTCAACCCTTCTTTAATTGAAAGCGGAACCAGAAATCACAGCCCAAATACTTTAAACTTCTTTGGGTTAAAGTTATGGAGGCAAGATTTCGGATTTCGGTTCAGCTTTAATTTAATAGTCGAGGAGTGTAACAAAGTAAAATCTCGGAACTTTCCCCTTCGAAAAAGCCGTGAATCTAGCCGCCGAGACTCGAACCCCCGATCACTTGCTTACCGGGCAACCGTGCTAACCATTACACCACAACGGACTCGCTCTCTTACTCCAGAGGTGAAGTAAGTCGTTAAAAAGCGCTCAACGACCCTCATTCTCTGTACGCTTCCGTAAACGCGTGCCCTCTGGCACACTGCTGGAAAAAAGAATAAAGAACTCAAAAATTGCATTGAAAACTTGCTAATCTTAATCTAAAAAACGAAAAAAAGACGTGAATCTTTTGAAGAACCATTACATTACATTACTCCATTAAAAGTTAAACCTTTTTTTCCTTTCCACCAACTTTGAAACATGAATAATCTAACAAATACCTTGTTTCTTTTTAATTAAATCTTATAACGATTTTATTAGATCAGAAAACTTAACCGCTAACGACCTCACTTTGAAACATTCTTCTTTGATCTAACAAACACTTTGTCTAACAACTTTTAATTGTTAGTTTGTCTAACAACTAACAACAACAGTGTTAGTTGTTAGACACTTGTCTTGGGATCTCCTCCAAACTTTCCCCCAGCTAACAACTAAAAGATTACTTAAAGTATTTCATTCTTTTTTGGTTTTTATAAATTTTTGCACAAAATCATAGATCTTGTTTTTACGATATTCCAAAGAAAATTTAAGCTTTTAGGCCAAGTGTTCGGACCAGAAGCTAGATTTTTTTTTTGGACA